GCCCCTGGAGCAGCATTTGTATTTGCATCAGGCTACAAAAAAAAAAAAACAAAATTTCTATTTTAGGGAAGCTGCTGGAGTTCCTACACACATTGTTGTACCCAGCCTTAGTTACCAGGGCCCATCTGCACCCAGCTGAGGTTATATTTAGATGTTTGTTTCTGGAAGTGACTTTGACCTTTTAATTAGAGTCTTGTATCTAAGGACCTTCCAGAGTTACAAGTGTGGGGGCTCTCAAATCATCTGCCTTGTTTCCTGCTGCAGAAATGTCATTTCTGGGGAGCCACCAGGGGGAAATTCTACAGCAAAGGGCAGGGACAGGTAACACAAAGCAGAGGACTGGGCAGGAATGGAAGCAGAAAAACCCTGGTGGGCAGATGGCAGGAAATGGTTGGATTATCTCTATTTCAAGACGTGATATAAATCAAATAAAAGCTTTTTCCATCAGCATCTCAGCTTTCCTATTTCCACGAGGAAATAATTTCCCCTTGTGTAAGCAGTTCATAGGTTGGCATCAGCCTTGCAGAAGTTCTGTCAAGCCAAGAAACTTGGACACAGCCCTTTGGGTACCTGGTTAAACTGCAGGGACAGAGGGAGGGACAGGTAACCTTTCCTGAGGGCTGGAACCCTCCCAGTCCTGCAGGGGGGTCATGGAAAGGAGGGACAGGGACTTTGGACACAGGGAAGTAGTGACAGGACACAGGGAATGGCTTCCCACTGCCAGGGGGCAGGGGGAGATGGGACATCGGGAAGGAATTGTTGGCTGTGAGGGTGGGGAGGGGCTGGGATGGAATTCCCAGAGCAGCTGTGGCTGCCCCAGCCCTGGGAGTGCCCAAGGCGTGGCTGGATCAAAGGAGCAGCCTGGGATAGTGGGAGGTGTCCCTGCTCATGGCAGGGGTGGCACTGGGTGGGCTTTGAGGTCCCTCCCACCCAAACCATTCCAGGATTCTCTGCTCTCACCCCTGTGTTTCCTCCAGTCCATGGCAGGGGCTGGCACAGCCCAAACCAATGAACAGTCACCCAGGAATGGCAGGTGAGGAATTCCTTTGACAAATCCTGGCCTAGAAACCAGGGAAGCGACTGCATGAAACCTGCCCCTGCCTCTCAGTGCACACCAAAGGAGAGTGTGTCCCGTGTTCCTTTCCATCAGCACTGCAGGGAGAGCACAAGGGGGGAGGAGAACTTCCCTTTCTTCCCATTCCTCATCTGCCCAGGGTCAGAACAACCCAGGACAGCAGCTCATCCGCAAACATCCCCTGGGAAATCCACAACCATCCCCTGCAGACCCTCCCAGGGTCACCCCAGCAGAGCTGACCCAGCCCCCCTTTGCTTTATCAACACCAGCAGTTACCCCAGCTCAGGGAATTCAGGTTTATTCTGCCCTGGCCACTTCCTCTGAGCAAGTTCTTATCCCTCACTGATGACCTGGACAGCTGCAGGGTGAGCAGAGCTCAGGAGAAGCCCCTGGTCCTACAGGTCCTCACGAAAACATCCCAGTTAATTAACAGGTTCTTTTGGCTTGGGTTAAAATTAAAAAATAAAATAAAATAAATAAGAATAATCACAATTCACATCAACTACAGATCAGCCAATTTAAGCAGATTCACAAGCACAACCTCATGTTGGAAGCTCCAGCCAGAAGGGGCCTTTGAGCTTGGTTGGTGTCATTATTACAAGTCTTGCAAACAACATCCAGTGTGATCTCCTGAGTTTCTCCAGAGCAGAGTTGGAAAATGGAGGAGGGAGAGGGGGAAACGGATCTGGAGGGAACACAGAGCAGTTTCCCCTTTCCTCAGGGAAAATTCCAGCCCAACTTCAACATGGTTGTAGGATTTAATAAGAAGAGACATTGAACAGCCCCAGCCATCACATCTGTGTTCAGGCAGCTGTTTGTGGCACTGATGGAGAATCTGAAGGAACCGAAACCTCCCCAAATCCCTGACCCTACCTCTGCCATGACCCTCCAAACCTCCCAAATCCCTGACCCTGCTCCAGCCTCTGCCATGACCCTCCAAACCTCCCCAAATCCCCATCCCTGCTCCAGCCTTTCCCATCCACTTTCCCAGCCTCCCCAAATCGATTCCTGTCCGGGCCATTCCCTTAAGGGTTGGACTCAGTGGTCCTTGTGGGTCCCTTCCAACTCAGAATACTCTGGGATTCAATCCCTGTCCCTGCTCCAGTCCCTCCATCAGCCTTCCAAGAAGACACACTGGTCTGGGCCAGCCAGCCAATGGAGTTTGGAGAGCAGGTTTAACCTGGAGCTTTTACAGGGGTACAGGATTAAATCAGGGGATTTAATCTCGGAATATTGAGTTGGAAAAGACCCACAAGGACCACTGAGTCCAAGTCTTAAGGGAATGGCCCAGACAGGGATCGATCTGGGGAGGTTGGGAAGTGTCATGGCAGAGGCTGGAGCAGGGTCAGGGGTTTGGGGACATTTGCAGGGTCATGGCAGAGGCAGGGAGGATGGCTGCTGATTCCCAAGGGCCCTGCTGCAGTGCCAGCAGCCTGCCCAAGCTGGACCCCTCAGCCTGCCCAAGCTGGACCCTCCAAGGTGGCCCAAACCTTCTGCAATTCAGCCACGCTTCCAGGTTGGCATTTGGGGGCAGGTGTGGGTGTTGTGTATCCTTTTTGCTGCAGTGCCCCAGGAGCCAGACCACTCTTGCAGCCCCCCCTTGCAGCTCAGGCAGGTTTGTACCGTGTCCTGCTGGCCCCTGGCAGCCCTGGGGACACTCTGGCAGTGATAGCACCACGGGAAGAGCCTCCCACCCTGCCTGGCCCATCCCTCCTGGAATCCCACAGCCCATCCCTCCTGGAATCCCACGTGCAGAGGCCCTTTGGCCCAGGCTCAAGAAGCCTC